CTTCTCTCGATTTCCATCCATATCTCTCATTAAGTAGAACTCAAGAACAAGACATGAAGATTGAACATTTTGTTGCTATCCACAAATAAAAATGTCTAGATGGACATTATTTACACCGTATGGATAAAATTAGCTTAAAACGGCTTAAGATTGCCACTAGCCCACTAGAATGACTTATAGACAATTTACTTGATGTCCTCTATACCTTTTTAAGAAAGGTGAATTTGGAAAAAAAAAACACAACAAAAAACGTTAAGTCTAAAAAACAAATTAATAATCAAATAAATCAAATACTAAGAATTTATTGTTATTTATCAACATTAACATTCTCTTACATTACTTATGTTATTATAGTTATGGTATAATTCAAACATGAATTTGAAATTAAATTTCGAATAAAAACATGAAACCCCGGAAGTCCCATTTAAAAAATGAGGTAAAAGAGGTAAAGATGTCCACAATCATGTTTTCTTTACGGATAGATCGATTACATCACAAAAATGAAATCCGACATGTGCAAAAATATTAACCAAAATGAGGTAAACAAAGAGTGTGAGTCAATGTGAGCAATATGAAATAAAAAAATGGTATATCATAGTGTACACATATGGATAAGAGAACCTATAAAAAAAGTCAAACAAAGAGAGAGTAAATCAATGTGAACAGTGAAATATATACATAAATAAATCAATATACAAACATATGAGAAAGAAGCATTGAACAACACTAAATATTAAAAATAAAAACATACATGGGTGTTAGGCTACTTAACTACCGATATATTTAGTCTTCACACCCTCTTATATGAGGTTATATACTTTAAAAGGGAAAACTCCATCATATCTGGTGTCTTATTATATTTTTACTTTCTTTTAAGAGGATCAACAATACTTTGTGTGATATATCACATCAAAAAGGTCCGTACTGAATACCCAATGTTTTTCCTATTCGACGCCTTCCTCTCGGCGTTGTTGGGCTCCTATGCTACTACGGTTGCCCTGAACTCGAGAAGCGTGTGGGACATCATTGGCTACTCCATACTCAGGACCTACCGTGGATTCTTTCTCTTTCAATGCCTCATGTATGTTTCAACTCTAAGCCACACTAAAAAAACTCTATAATTCAAATGCAGGAACACAGCTACCAGAATGTTTTGGAAGAAATTGAATCTTGTTAAGGATATTTGAATATTACATGTTTGGAATTTGAAATAGTTTGAATCTATTATCATGTATTTGTTTGTCTTCGGTTTTATATTTTGTTTGTAGATATGTCTAATTATGTTACTTTTTGAGAAACAACATCATTTTAGAATGACTATTTCGGATTTCAATAAATATATAATATGTATTTTTTTTATTTGTACCAAACATTTAAAAAAAGTCTTTTTATCCATACATAATATTGGAAATGTCTAATATAATCATCAATTTTCAAACAAATGTCATTTTTAAGGCCTGTCGTATCTACTTACAATTTGATGTGCTTCTTTATTTTTATTTTGTTAAATTTGATTAAAAACAAAACATTTTCCTAAAATTTTGGATTTGTACATTGGATTTTGGAAATGTTCTTGAATTTGAAATAAATTTTGTTTTTATGTCCGAAATCCATAATCCAAAATATACCTTTTTTTAGAATAGCGTACTTGTAAATATAATGTGGTGTAAAGTTAGTCCGGAATGTACAACTTCAAACATGGTCATTTGGGTAAAACCGAAAAAGTTAGGTTATTTTCACATATTCTAGAATTTGGATGGTAATTTTTATGAATATCTTTGTTTTATTATTTCATATTTAGGTGGTAAGCGAATAAAATGAACACAAACATATTTTATTGTTCATTCTTTTAACAAATTACATTGTTTGTATTTGTTCGTTTGTGTTTGTTAAGATGTTAAACGAACAAAGATAAAACAAACCCAAATGAACATATCTAAACACACATGGACACATATGAAAAATAAAAAATAAAAAACATAAATTAACATAAGCAGCCTAATCTAGGGACAATAAACTTAATCGTTAACACTTGTTATATGTAAATCATACTTAGCATTGGCACTTATGATATTTTTATCATATGTTAGAAGTTGTAAAGCTTAAATCACTATTATAAACTCAACTTTCATTTGTTTCACAGTTGCATAATATTAGATGTTTATATAATATAATAGAATAACCGAACTTAAACGTACGTTTGAGGACATAAACAAACAAACAAGACCCTTTGTTCGTATTCGTTCGTTTAATAAATAAGCAAAAATCATGTTCATATTCATTCATTTATAAAATAAATGAAAATAAACGAACTTTCTATAGAACGATTCAGGAACATTCAATTCATTTATTTATTCATTTACAACTAATTATATCAACTGTGAGCACTATTACATACTTAAGGTGCTTATTTATTAAGCTATACTTTTAATCCTTTTAAATAAAAATAAATGACACATAATTAGCACAAAAATTGCTTTAACACATGACCACAAAATTTTAAACTTTTATATAATCTTAATATCAAATGACTAACTAAAATATATTAACACCAACATAAGTCACTCGTTCTAATTTCAAATTCCATATTAGTAAACGGATTGGAATATCCTCCCGTTCAAATCATTGTAACTTTCATTTAGTTTTTGTGCTATTGTTTTGTACTTTTACTCCTAGCTCTTTGCTAGGTGTGCTTCGCTTTTTTCTTTATATATATATTTCTCGTTTGCCGGTTCAAAAAAAAAAAATAAACGGTAAATTAATACGTGCATTTTATTTAAGTAAATGCTTCATATTCATATAACTCTTGCAACATTCCGTTTGGGTTGAAGAAAATGCATTGTTTTTTTAAACATGTTTGATTTAAACCTACATCACCTAAACCTACAAATCGCTGTTTTCGAATGTTCATTAGTGAAAATATAAACCCAACTTTTTATTAAGAATATAATAAAAAAATTGTTTATTTCTTGGTTTCGTTTTTGTTTATTAAAAATTATTATAAAATAAATTCTTAGCCTCGATGACACTCAATCAATCAATGTTTAACCTTCATCCATACAATGGCACAATGGATCAAACCCGATTTTCAGATAACCAAAGTCTGACAAAAAGGAAATGTTTCTAATATCTAAGATCTATCAAATTAAAATATCACAATATTAACCAATATAACTATGCTAAAAAAATACTTCAAAATATATTTAAATTGTGTCTTAATCCTACTTAATAAATGAAAGTTTTTCGCCACATATCATCACCTAATTCAATATGCCAAATGGCATTTTTTAAATTTCATTTAAATCCACTTGGCAAATTGTGGTTTTTTTGGCTTTGTTATTAAATTATAAAAAAATCTAATATAAAATATAATAAAGAAAATAAGAAAACTTAAATGTCTCCATAAATTATGATGTAATTTGTTTATTAATGTATTAAAGTCAATTTAAATTCAAATCAACCTTCCTAATTGAAAAACAGAATTTTCGGCCAATCTCTTTTGAATTCACGATAATTTGCAGAAACCTTACAAAAATTGGTTCATTCACGGCTAATATTGATAGTCTTTCCAAATTCACTTTTGTAAATTATTATACATGTAATGCTTAACAAAATATATTATTTTAAAAAAAGAAAAAAAAAACTCGTATATCACACGGGTCTCACACCTAATTGGATATATAAACATATATGAGGGTGTAGTTGTGTTTCTTAGAGGGCCTTGATGAATATGGCCTTGGTCCTTTTTTTTTTTGGTACTGATCTCACATACTGCCATGTTCCATGGGTACCTGTGTTGCCAAAAAAATCAATAAACTAGATAGCAAAAATAATAAATGGCAACAAATTAAAATGAAGAAATTAAAATGCTAAACAAGATGTATGTTGAAGTCTTCAAACTCAAATACCAGGGCAAGGATCTTGTCATCGATGGGCTGACATTTGACCATCATGCTAAACAACATGATGTTCACGTTTAGATATAAAAAAAATTGATATATATATTTGATCATTTAACTTGTTAAATGTATTCATATATTATTATTATCACATATAAGATAGCAAATTACCTTATAAGTCTAAACATGAACAAAACGAAAATGTAATTGCCTAAGTGTTTTCCCTTTAAATAACTTTTAAATATAGTTTCCCATTTTGAAATGTTTTTAAAAAAATAGAGATTTTTATGCAAATTCAATAGTAATATATTGGGATTTTGAAAACAAAAAAGTATATAACAAAGTTTGTTTAATAGTCAAATAAATTTTCGTCCATCACCATAAAATAATGTTTACCAAATGAATTTTATCGAGTAAAATACCGTAAAGCCAAAATAAAATTAGAAATCTAAAGATAATATCGTAATTATTTTGGATAGTGATAAAAATCAATTTAATTAAAGGTTTGATTTTATTTAAAACACTGTTACTGAATATTATATAGATATCTTTTAGATTTATAATTATGATATATTATATGGCTTTATTAGAAAAATATAAGAGAATTTTCATAAAACTAAATTTGTTCAGGAAGAAAAACAAGAAAAGATTAATTAAAGGTTTGATTTTATTTAAAATACTGTTACTGAATATTATATAGATATCTTTTAGATTTATAATTATGATATATTATCTAGCTTTTTTAGAAAAATATAAGAGAATTTTCATAAAACTAAATTTGTTTAGGAAGAAAAACAAAAAAAGATAGTTAAAAAGTGGAAATGCGGGGTATCGATCCCCGTACCTCTCGCATGCTAAGCGAGCGCTCTACCATCTGAGCTACAACCCCGTTTTATTGTGATCGTCTGAATTAATTTATATCAACAAAATTAATTACTCTAATTACCTATTTGTTTGAATAAATTGCAAAAAACACCCCTGGGAAGTGGGAAGTGGGAATGACAAGCGTAAAACGAATTTAAAATCAATCGAGGGATAATATGCTTTTTTAGAGAGTTGTTATTTGGTAGCCTTTATTTATTCTTTTGTAATTTGTATAATGAATATTTTATTTCTTTAATTTTCTTTTCTTCAAATCCAAACAGCTGGAGACCGGAGAAGACTTCAAAGCATTCTTCGTTACACTGCTTGATACCATTTCAAACATTTTTCCAAACCACAACAATCATCACTCATGTTTGCCAAGAAACTGTTGCAAAAAGCTACAAAGCTTCACAATCTTCATCATCATCATCAGGTAAGCCTTCTCCTCACTATGTTACTTCATCACCGATCCTTGATTTTGATGATGATGAAGATGATGATTTAGTTGAAGGTTCTAAACAAGTTGTTGTGCTTAATATATATATTAAAATTTCGCTCAGGATCTTTATTGTGGTTTTAGTATGTAGGCGTAGTGTGAATCTGTTCATCGCTGATTGATGAACTGATCAGATGATTTTGTTTTATTTGAATTGTAACTTATCTAGTGAACAGTGAGTTAGCATTATGTCTCTCCAATGGACTCTGCCTTAGTTTGTAACTTTTTAGGGATTTTTTTATGAATTTGGAGCCTAACAAGATTAGTATGATATGCTTCTGTAGGAAGGTAAGGTTAAGGTGTTGCTAAAAGTTTCTAACAACCACTCCAGAATATTTTGTTCCTTTCTGGAGTCTAGATAGAATGCATCAATTTAACTTGAACAGTTCAATTCAAAATTATGTAGGTTTTGTTAACGGAGAGAGTGCTTATGTTCCATCACAAGACAATTTTTCCAATTTGAAATTTTCACTGATTTAGTATTACATAGTTTTCTAGAAAAGAAAGTATCAATGAAATTTGGGTTGATACCTTGTATTTTGTTGTCTACAACAGAATTTAAGGGGGAGCCTCACACAAGAAGATTTGGATTTTCAAATAGCTGTACATTATGGTATCCCATCTACTGCATCAGTTCTTGCCTTTGATCCCATTCAGAGGTTATTAGCTATTGGGACATTGTAAGTTTTTACTATTGTCACCCTCCATAGAATTATAAAAGATGAAATTATTAGGAAATTTATCAGGCCACTTGTAATGTATTAAAAAGAAAAAGAGATATGCAACTTCATTTAGTAACCATATTTCCAACTAATTCCTTTGCAGAGATGGCAGAATAAAAGTGATTGGTGGGGATAACATTGAAGGACTTCTAATTTCTCCAAAGCAATTACCTTTCAAGTATTTGGAGGTTTGTTAGTTACTTCAAGGATATGGAACAGATAAACCTTTTAAGAAAATCTTTTTTAATATCTTTAATTGTTTTTCTCTTGCAGTTTCTATCCAACAAAGGGTTTTTAATCAGCATATCCAATGACAATGACATACAGGTAGCATCTAGTTTCTTATTTCTCATTTTTCAAAATACACTAGAAACTACCAATCCAGATAATTTGGGTTTATTGTGATCTGAGTTAAGCAGGAAAACTCCATTCACAGTCAAAGTTTGACTTTTTCCTATCAGGGTCCCACTTGGCCAGTCCCATGGTAATGATTTTATCTAAGTACAACCTCTGTTTCAGACTTGATGCTCTTTTTGTAGGTGTGGAATTTGGAAGATAGATCTGTAGCCTCTAGTTTGCAATGGAGCTCCAACATTACAAGTTTTTCTCTGATACATGGCTCCTTCTTCATGTATGATAATACTGACAAATAATTTAATTGGCTGATGCAAGAAATACCAATATACTTTAATTTACAGTATTGCCCTTTGAAAAATCTACCCAATTATAGCATTGTACCTTTAATCAGTTTGTTACTATATACAGGTATGTTGGAGATGAGCATGGGTTAATGTCTGTTTTGAAGTATGAGGAAGATGCAGAGCTTTTGATGCTACCATATCATATTTCAGCCAAATCTCTTACTGGTAATATCTCTTCCCATTTCATTGATAAATACTGTTAGAATTATTTCTTTATAAGTTTCGTGCTTAAATGTAAGTTTTCTATCTTCATTTTAACACATTACAATACTTTATATTCCAATTTACTCTACAGAAGCAGCTGGATCATCATTTCCAGATCATTGGACTGTTGTTGGAGTTCTTCATCAACCATGTTCTTCTGGAAATAGGCAAGATACAAGTATTGGTTGAAGTTCTCTCCTTTTTCGTTAAAAAAAAAAAAACTTTTTGCAATCATTCACTAAATATCATATACAGCCCGAATAAATATCCAATTGCTTGTTCTTTTGCAGGGTTTTAATCGCATACGAAAGTGGATTAATCATTCTTTGGGATGTCTTTGAAGCTCAAGTGGTTGTAGTTAGAGGTGATAATGTTCTTGAACTAAAGAATGGAGTTGTTGACTCTCCTAATCATAGTCAACCTGAACACAATTTGGAGGAGAAAGAGATAACTGCTCTTTGTTGGGCTTCTTCTAATGGCAGCATTCTTGCTGTTGGATACATAGATGGAGATATCATGTTTTGGAAAACATCAACTACTACTTCAAGTAAAACCCGAAAATCTGGAGCATCAAACAATAATGTTGTAAGGGTACAATTGTCATCTGCAGAAAGAAAATTACCTGTAATTGTCTTGCACTGGTCAGCCAACAGTAAATCCCAAAATGACTCTGATGGTCAACTCTTTGTTTATGGAGGCGATGAAATAGGGTCTGATGAAGTATTAACTGTAAGTTTTAACTTTTAACTTTTAACAGATCATTTTTTTTAAAAACTTAGTTTCCATTTATTCATATGTTCAAGCTTTTGAAACTAATTTACAGGTTTTGAGTCTTGAATGGAGCCCTGGGATGGAAACCCTAAGATGTGTAGCTCGTGCTGAGCTTACTCTTACTGGATCATTTGCTGATATGAGTTTGTTACCAAATCCTATAAACAACCTTGGAACTGATTTATTAGTACTCACAAACCCTGGGCATCTTCAATTCTTCAGTCATGAGAGTTTGACTGCGTTGACTTCTGAACATGATAAGAGAATTACTCTGAATTCTATCGAGTGTCCTGTACTCATACCTACACTTGATCCTATCCTTACTGCAGCAAACCTCACTTCACTAGTTGCCACTGAAAACACTTCAAAGTTCCTTTTGGAGGTAATTACATGCTCTACACTTATGGCTTTGTTTTTTTATTTTTGATTTTTGTTTTATTAACTAGAATTCTGTTTACTTAGATAGCTACAAATATGAAAGTTAACTCAACATCAAAATTTATGGGTGGAAGTGGAAATTGGCCTGTGTCTGGAGGCATTGTACAACAGTTGTCTTCTCCTGAAGGTTATGTGATACAGAGAATTTACATAACTGGATACATGGATGGATCTGTTAAAATATGGGATGCCACGTCATCAGTCTTATCAATGCTGTGTGTTATAAGGGAGGTGAGTTGCTCTTTTGTGATAATTAAAAAGTAGAATATGAATTTATATATCTGACACAATTGACAGATGAAAGATGTGGAAGTGAAAGTGAAAGGGTCAACTGCTCCAGTTTCAGAATTAAACTTTTGCTCATTGACTTCAGGTTTAGCAGTTGGAAATCAACTTGGTTTCGTAAGAGACGATTCTATATTATATATTTAATATTTAATTATTTATCTTTTGTGTTTAATGGATATTTATTTTCTTAAACTAATTGCATAATTGTTTGAGTTTGTAGATCCGTGTATATAACCTCAATTCCAGTTCAAAAGATACAACCCTACACATTATCACAGCAATAAAACAAGAAGGTAAGTTTTGTTTTAGGTATATGTTTTTTAATATGTTTTTTTTGCATAATGTTTAAATTGTTTTCAGTTCACAAACAAGCTGAAAATGGTGGGCCCAAGTGTAGTGCATGTTTTCACCTTCTTGATTCCCCTGTTCAAGCACTTCAATATATGGACCATGGAGCTAAGCTAGCAGTTGCACATGAATGTGGTCGTGTAAGTCTACTATTTCTGTGAAAAAAGACGTAAATGCCCTCCTTGTCCTCTACACCTCTACATGGTCTTACTAACTAATGACTGAAATACCCTTGTTGCAGGTTGCAGTGCTTGATGTGAAATTATTCTCGGTTTTGTTCCTGAGTGACTCTTTACCTAACCCTAGAAGTCCAGTGATTTCAATGATGTGGAAATCATTTTTGCATAATGATGGATATGTTAAGAGCCCAAAAGATTTGGGATCAAAGGATCTTAACAAAAACAAAACTGTAGAGAGTTTGATGTTCATATTCACCAAGGATGCAAAGTTGTATTTATTTGGTTGTGATGATTATCGCATGATCAACTCTAAACCAATGCAACTGAAAAAGGAAACAACTGCTATTTCAATGCATGTTATAGGTAAGTATAATTTACTGTAATAGTAAAATGAAAGTGAGATATTATAATAAACACTTTTTTTTTTTCAGAGGGGAGTACTTCCATGGTTGAATCAGTTGACCAAAAGGAGTCAAAGCAGTTGACCAAAGATGTTTTATCCAGAAATGAACCACATAGTCCAGTTGACCAAAAGGAGTCAAAACAGTTGGATTCACTTGTTTTACTTTGTTTAAAAGATGCACTACGATTATATCGTTTAAAATCTGTGATTCAGGTGTGAATATTTTTTCAACTTTTTTATTTCATTATTTTCCTGGTCATGATGATCTAATAACTTATATTTTTTTATAGGGGAACGAACAAACTTTGTGCAAAGTAAAACTTGCAAAGCCTTGTTGTTGGAGTACAACTTTTAAAAAAGATGAAAAAACTTGTGGATTGGTGTTACTCTATCAATCTGGAGAATTAGAAATCAGGTTTCTCTCTCGCATTAAAAAAATTATTGTATATGAAGTTATTAAAATATGTCATGTTGACACTTATTTTTATGCAGATCATTGCCAGATCTAGAAGTGATGAAAGTAACCTCATTGATGTCAATATTAAGGTGGAGTTTCAAACCAAACATGGAAAGGACTATGAGTTGTACAGAAACAGGGCAGATTTCCATGGTAATAATATTTAAAATCTTAAAAAACCTTTTTTAAGTGCATTAGTGAAGGTTTTCTCCATGGAATTTCTTTATTTATGTAGATAAATGGATCTGAAGTGGCGTTTATTTCTCTACTAAATGGTGGTGATGATTTCAGGTATTGTAACTTTAATTTGTGACACTTGTTACATTTTAAGATAATGATGATGTTGATGTGATTGTGATGTGGTTGTGTTTATTGGAATTAGGGTTTTGGAATCTTTGCCTTCTCTTCATGATAAAGTGCTTGCAGCTGCAATAGAGGCTGTGATTAGCAGTTCTCAAAAACAAAGGAAAAAGCAGGGTACCCCTGGAGCAATTGTGAATATTCTGAAAGGATTTAAAGGAGGAAAAGCAAAAAATGGCATCAACTTTCCTGCAGATTTTTTATCGAGTTTTAGTAATTTGGATAAAATCTTTTCAAAGAATCCATTTCCAGATCCAGTTGAAAGCATTACTGATGATCAGGAAGATGTGGAGCTTGATATAGGTATCTATGTCTATTATATAATCCATTTAAAAGATTTTTTATAGCATGAATTTACTCTTAATATATAATTAATGATGCAGATGACATTGAAATTGATGAAGAACCTGTATCCATGCCTATGCCTACTACTTCATCGCATTCAAAACAAAATGAGGAAACTGGTATGTATGCTTAGAAATGATTCTTCAATCCAACCAAAGAAACCCTAATATTTTATGCCTGAACTGATGATGCAGGAAAGAAAAGTGACAGGGAAAGATTATTTGATGGTGACAATTCTGATGCCACACCCCGACTTAGGACACGTGAAGAGATCATTGCTACATATAGAAAGGCTGGGGTATTAAATACTACTAAATACACCATTTTATCTCAATTCAAATAAAATAAAATGTGACTGTTTCTTTACAGGATGCTTCCTCAGTGGCTTCACAAGCAAGAAACAAGCTTTTAGAACGCCAGGAGAAGCTTGAGGTAGGATCTCCAATCCATCATGTTAAACAATGCAAGATTCTGAATTAATTCACGTAATTCATAATTTAGATATATTAATTAATTTTTATGTTTCAGAGAATCAGCAGAAGGGCCCAAGATCTAAACAATGAAGCCGAAGACTTTGCATCCTTAGCAAATGAGCTTGTAAAGGCTATGGAACGCAGAAAATGGTGGCAAATATGATCATTTTTGCCAATATATCATATTTCATTCAAAACATATCAAAAACTACAGACATTTTGGCTAAATTTAGATCGATCTGTTTTTTAATACATGCCAACCATAAAACTTGAATACTTGATATGAAGAGACAAAGGAGTTGTAGTCTGTTGTAGAAGTAGGCACTTCTGTAATATGTCAGCATATTAGATAATTATATGAATTCAAATCCTAAGAGGTAACAATATGAATGTTGTAGAATTGTGTAGAAAGTTATTGTCATATTAAGATTTTCTAAAAAACTAAAGGAGAATATTTTGTTCGACAGAATGCATGAATTTTGAGGGGGAAAGTTAGGTTAAAATTATGTGAATTGAGGGCGAGGGAGTGCTTTGTTCCACCACTAGTAGACAAATTTTGACTGATTTTGTAGTTGGGTAGTTAAACAAGAAAATATACCAAAGGATCACGATCATTTCCAAATTTAAACAAGAAAATGTTGGATAACTAACGCCACTTTAGATTGAAGTTCATGTAGACACTAGAAGCCAGAAGGCTTCTGTGGGAATTTGTTAGGGTTTCCCACTTTTGATAACGATCCCTTCTTATTCGAACATGTTCCAGGTAATGAGGCCAATACGGGGTTCCTGTTCCGGTCTTCTTCTCCAAGACCTCCCTCAGCATGACTCTGCAAAAGTGATTGTTGTGTCTCAAGTGCATGTCTGGCTTTGCGTATACATACTTGGGATGGCAAATCTCAAAAAATGCATCAAAAAATGGGGATCGTTCCCACAAGCATTCATCGTTTACTGTTCCAAACCACAGATGTTGCACGTTCATAGCAGGAGGAAACATGAGGAGCCTTGTTCTTAGATCATCCATGTCGATTTCCAATGGCAACATAGTAGTATAGTTGTAAGTTGTTATATAAATGTCGCACTTGCGCGTTAACGTGAGTGCTTCCCTCATCTTAAGAAAAAAATACACATCAACAGGAAGTTTTGGATTGAGTGAAATGATTTGCTTGAAGAGAGTACTAGAGACAGGAAACAAGAGAGTAGGCAATGCGGTCCCATCGAACCAGAAAAATTGTAATTTTGGAGCATGAACTTGTACGTCTGTAAGTATGCGATAGCATGACTTTAGGGTCAATCTCTTGATGGAAGCACATGTGAAATGGAAGCTTTCCGACTTCCAAGATGTCATATCATCAAGTGTCAAACTCTCGAGAAAAGGAAATCCCGATTCAATCATGTTCAGACACGCGTTGCTTCTTTCCATACCATAACCACCTAGCCTTAACTTTGTCATGCTGCTTCCTAATGATATTGAATCGTTGAATGGAAAAGATATATTTAGATTGCAGCTAAACACGCCAAGATTTGGGACATGACTGATTTCCAAAGCAGTATATCCATCATAATCATCATATTCTGAGGATATTGTCAATTCATAAAGACACGGGAGGTTTTTAACCTTGATGGTTTTGAGCCCCTTGCAAGAATCTATAAGCACAAACGTCTCAAGCAAGCTACAAGACGACAATATGTGATTGAGTGCCTCTTCACCTATACGCACACCAAACAATTCAAGTTCTCGTAGGGACACACAGTTGATCACAGGAGTAATCGTTGTCATCCAAACAACAGGATGGCGCCTAAGCGGGGAGAAAACTTCTATCTTAGTCAGGTTTTCACCCGACGAGAGTATCTCATCTGGAAATGTAAACGGGGCACCGTAAAGGAGGAATGAGAGGGATAACTCTTTGAGACTGGTGGTTACCACAGGCCCGATCCATTTTTCGGGCATGAGAAGCTGACTCCTGGTTCTCAATGTCCATAACAAGCTGAAACTTTTCGATTGGTATGTTGTCACTGAGATACCTTATCAGAGTGTGGTCCACGTCCACCAACTTCATGCTCTTTCCATGTTGGTGTTCCTTGCAAACACAAAACCTGATGGTAGGGATGGTAGACCAAGCGTATAGCCACGACTTTGACTACACACTCGTGCGGGCCGCTTCTTCATACGGCAACCATGATTGTATATGCTGCATCAACTCCGGAACATCTTCTACTTCTCGTCTCATCCCTTCAAACCCATGCATAACAACACATCACTAGATTAGATTTCCACAAAAACTGTCATCTTATCTTATCTTATATATATTACATATAACAGAGTACGAAATCACCAAATGCCTACAAAACACGGCTAAAAATCATGTTTGGCTGCTCGATTAGACCAAAAACAGATTAGTTGGGTGACCATTCCCAAGAGATCCAAGGGAAGGAGAGTAGGAGACCGATATATGATGTTGACTGAACCATGAATTAAACCCAAGAATACAAAATAGCTTTAAATATCTTCAAAACCGCAAAACGTTTCAAAATTTCTCTTGCGTATCGCTACAAAAACAAAATTAAGACAGACAGACATTGATAGATACCATGGGTTCCAAACTTATAAGAAAAACTCAATCTTGTAACTTCGAGTTTAGTCGCTGTACTTTATGCCTCTGATTGTTCATATGTAGGATTTACGCTCACCAAAGCAGGCAACAAGATGCAAAACAAATTGGAGGATTTACCTTCGTCGAGGATGAGAGCAGTCACTGTTATTCATGATCTAGGGCCCATGCTTTATCTATTTTCCTCGAAAGTCGAAACAGAGTAAGGGTTTGTTTGAGTTTTGACAGTGGGTCCGGTCAGTAATTATAGCTGACTCGGTCCGAGTCAGTCCAGTTTGATAAAGCCCGAAAAGTATCGACTCTGTCAGCAATAACTGACCCAAATCCTTGGGCTGGAGGGAGTGGTGCCACCGAAACCGCACTCTCTTCGTTGTCACGTAAGCGCCACGTCATTTTTACCACAAAAGTGCGGTTCCTTGCCACACCCAAAGAGTGGTGCCACACTTTATTTAAAAAAAAATTAAATAAAAACTTTAATTTCTCCCCACCCAATCACAAAACAGTCAAATTATCTACACCCAATCACAAGCCGCGACCATTTTTGCCACACTACGGTTTGAACCGCACCAAACCGCACCCAGGGGGCGGTGTTCGCTGCTTATGTGGCGAAACCGCACTCCCTGGAACCGCACCACACCCTCCAGCCTTACTCAGCCCACCTAAAAATGTGATTGACCGGAAGATTTTACGCTTTTTTTCTGTTTTCCGAAATTAGATGCACAATGAAATCATATCCTCCTATTTTTTTCCTACAGATCCTCCTACTCAATTAAATGATGACATGTGTCATATTATTATATTAAAATATCATTAAATGAGCATTAAATGTTACACATGTCACTATTTAATTGGGTAAGAGGATTTGTAGGAACAAAATGTAGGAGTATATTTAATTTCTATATGAAATTAGGAGCTTGCTCCACTTATATGATCTAAAATCGGACATGAAATCATATATGATCAGACATGAAATCAAGCTTTTTTTTTGTTTTTTTCATTTTCTAAAATTGGACACATATATTTGAAGTATTGTTGAATGGTGAATGGTGGGTATGGTGTGGAAGGCATGTCGGAGGAGGGGGGGGTTGGTTATGTAAAGCCAAGACATGGTCATGTTTATGGAGATTTACATGATCGATTCAGCCATGGAAGAGAGATAATTTACAATATCTGATGTTGTCCTGTCAACAATGTTGGTTAAGGTTTGATTTTCATTTATCATCTAATTATATACATCGTTGATTCCCTATCCCTAATAATTGAGTTTTGTTTGAATGAATCATATCTAAAGTGAGAGAATTTTCTCCCACATGTTAATATTTCAAGTGCATTAAGCACTTTATGTAAATGATCCAACTCAAAATTTGACTAATTGTTGCTTCTGAGTTGCTTATCCATATAAAGCTATTCCATTGAACTAATATAAGGTTATAGTGGCAAGAATTATGTTTAAGCTCTTAAATTTTGCCCCCTTTTCATTCATTTTCTTTGTTTCATATCATTACAACCGGTATTTATATATATGATGCATTTTTTTGCAGATGATGATGATGATGCTGATAATGCATAAGAGTCTGAAGGAGATGAGTTTGAATAGGAAACCGGTTGACTTCTTACTGTTTTCTTCACTGCAGATAATATCATAATAGCAATGAACTATTTTTACTAGTATTATCACTGTATTATGTAAAACTTATCTGATACTAAAAGATTACAGCTCGATTTGTAAGCTTGAATAGATCAAAAAATATATATGGACTAATGCCTGAGAAAACTGTGCTTACTAACACAAAAAAAAAGTTGCTATTTTATAAAATTTGTAACAAAATATTTTATTATTGATAATATCATAAACATAAAAGTAAATTTACATGATACAGTTATTATGAAATACAAGCATACTATTAAATATATATTCTCATTATTTTCTATTTTTTCAAATGTACAATAAATATTAAGATTTAAGAACAAGCAAAAGGTTGTTGTATGATAGACATATAGTGACTGTTTTTTTTTTACTTAATAAGTAAAATAATTAATGAACATTTGTTGTTTTTTACTTAATAAGTAAATAATTAATGAACAATTGTTGTTTTCCATCAAGGGGTAATATGGTAATTTTTCATCATTCACCATAGTCGGTCAGAGATATAAACAAACAATATGGTTTCAGTCAGAAGTTCTAACTCGGTCAGCACTAACTCAATTAACAACTATCAAACGACCCCTAAATTACACATTTGGTCCGTTTTATTGTTTTTCTTAATAAAATTTTCTTTTTCAATTGTAACATTGACGGCCTTTACAATTTGATTTTGGTCTTTAACAGACGTAAAATGATTAAGCTTCCTTTAGGGATGACCATATTGACCAAAGAACCGAACTTGAACGTTATAGGGCTATTCAGTTCAATTATCGGTTCTTCAAAATCGCATTATTATGTTTCGGGTCGGTTTGGTTTTGGTTCCAAGTTCACTCCTAGTTTGTTCTTAAATAACTAAGTTTCCATCAGGGATGAACTTTTTGAAAATGCTTGTCCTTATTTTAAAACTCAAAACAAAACAAATGTTTGTCCTTATTTTAAAACTCATTGTGCTTTCATGAATGAAATGTGTATTACATATAGTATTTCACACAGTTGTTACACATAGTATATCTCATAAAAGGAAACATAAAATACAACAATGTATTATCGGGCATGTGTTCTTTGGTAATAAACTTACCTCATTTGATGTGAATACTATACTCCACTCCTAGTGATTTTTGGATGTCCATGTGTCACCTTAGACCAACATTAATTAGAATATCAACTACTAATTACTCTCTAATCACCTGGATTAAAGTAACTAAACTATAACACCTTATTTTATAATCTACATATTATCCTTAAATCCATGGAAGAGTAATGGAAGCAACTAGAGCTTCAACAGATTAAGAGTGAAAAAAAATGATATCGCCAAACAATAGATTATATGATTGTGTTAATTTTCTCATGGGTTGGACTTGATCGTGTAATTAAACATTACCTTCACAAAATGAGTTTAAAATCCAAACATACTTCCATAACTTGTCTCATTTGAATTCAATACCTTTAATCCCAAACTCTAATAACTAAGTATGATTAGTGAAAGTTAAAAGCTTTGTTTCAATAATCAAATTACCTCACTAACACCATCATTAATTTGATCAATCATGAATTAAAGATATCGTTTCCTATATTTTAACTTTAACCTTCAAAACTTGAAAACTGACTTCTAGATTTGGCTTCATTTATGCTTTGCAACTATGATGAAATAACCCAACTTCATAGCATAATTTAAACTTATTTAGTTTACTCATTTTACACCAAATGAATTCAATGGTGATCTAACCATTTTGACTAAAAAAGCTCCACTAAAGCATTAATAATCCACACTGATTCAAATGAATATTTTAATACTATGGTTTGACTTTGCATTAATGAATTAGAATATCAACTACTAATTACTCTCTAATCACCTGGATTAAAGTAACTAAACTATAACACCTTATTTTATAATCTACATATTATCCTTAAATCCATGGAAGAGTAATGGAAGCAACTAGAGCTTCAACAGATTAAGAGTGAAAAAAAATGATATCGCCAAACAATAGATTATATGATTGTGTTAATTTTCTCATGGGTTGGACTTGATCGTGTAATTAAACATTACCTTCACAAAATGAGTTTAAAATCCAAACATGCTTCCATAACTTGTCTCATTTGAATTCAATACCTTTAATCCCAAACTCTAATAACTAAGTATGATTAGTGAAAGTTAAAAGCTTTGTTTCAATAATCAAATTACCTCACTAACACCATCATTAATTTGATCAATCATGAATTAAAGATATCGTTTCCTATATTTTAACTTTAACCTTCAAAACTTGAAAACTGACTTCTAGATTTGGCTTCATTTATGCTTTGCAACTATGATGAAATAACCCAACTTCATAGCATAATTTAAACTTATTTAGTTTACTCATTTTACACCAAATGAATTCAATGGTGATCTAACCATTTTGACTAAAAAAGCTCCACTAAAGCATTAATAATCCACACTGATTCAAATGAATATTTTAATACTATGGTTTGACTTTGCATTAATGAATTAGAATATCAACTACTAATTACTCTCTAATCACCTGGATTAAAGTAACTAAACTATAACACCTTATTTTATAATCTACATATTATCCTTAAATCCATGGAAGAGTAATGGAAGCAACTAGAGCTTCAACAGATTAAGAGTGAAAAAAAATGATATCGCCAAACAATAGATTATATGATTGTGTTAATTTTCTCATGGGTTGGACTTGA